TGTGTCAGGTCCTTTATTTGCTTTATCTTGAATTCTCTCAAACTATCTCACAAGCCCCATTTCATAGGCACAGAAACTGAGGCTCAGAGCTGATGACTTGCCCAAGTGCTTGTAGCTAGGATTTCAACTTGGATCTGGGCCACCAAAGTCCAAATTATCTCTACTTTACCTCTGTGGCCCTGGCTCTTTTTTTCGTTTGTTGTCTTACTCTTACTTGCCTGCCACACTCTCTCTTCTTGCCCTCCTACCCCCCAGCTTAGTTTCCTGCTGTTAGACACAGTCGGGCATGGCCTGACCCAACAACTAAATGAAGATCTGGAGCAGGGTTTCTTAATCTTGGCACTATTGACATTTGGGGCTGGGTAATTCTCTCTTGCTGAAGTGAAGCACTGTTCTGTGCATCATACATATTCAGCAGCATCCTTGGTCTCTACCCACTAAAGATCAACAGACAGTATCAGTCCTCTCTACAATGACAACATTAAGTATCTACAGACATGACCAAATATTCCCTGGGGTGCACAACAGCTCTCCAGTTTAGAACCACTGTCTATAGAAATGAGGAGTCAGGGTCAAGTTGATTATAACCTGCCTTCCCCATTAGGCCATGGGCAGCTGGAGGGCAGGAAGAGCAAATTGTTTGATGTACTGCTGTGTTATCCACACCTACTGCAGTGCCTGGCATGTGGCAAGTGCTGCTGAAAGAATGAATGAATGAATGAGGTTTCCATGAACATGGTGTTTCATGATGAGGGCCTGAAGGGCGATGTTCCCATCCAGATCCTCATCGACCTGCACAACCTGGTGCACATACCTTTTCCTTTTTAGGCCTCAGTCCCCCTTTGCCATCTCTTGAATGAGGGTCCTCCCTGGCCCTGAAGCCCTGGACATCAGTGGTCTGAGAACTGCCATGTTCCATCTCTGAGGCCCAGAGTCCAAGGGCTGAGAAGAGTGTCAGCCCTGGACAGAAGAGAGGCTGTCTCCCCACAGGCTGGACACTGAGATCTGCCCAGTCTTGAGTTTATCCTTCTTTATCCACGCTCCTCAAGTCAAATCAATTACAGAGAGACAGGCAAGTGCTCCCCCCTCGCCGCCTCCCCCAAGACCCTATGCAGTAGAGGTGGCTTCTTTTCAGAGTGTGTGTCTTAAAAGGAAAAACATGTAACCTCAAAGGTAACCAAATATCCCGATCGTGGTGCCCAGCACCACACACCCCAAATCCACCTATTCATGAGTTTAACAAAAAGCTTCTTTAGGGTACACTGTAAGGCCATTGAGAGGGAGAAAAGTCGCCTCTTACACACCCAGTCCAGCCCGCAGGGCCGCCCTCCCAGCACACACATACACACACTCACACACACACACTCAGGCCGCTTACAAGAAGGCTCTGAGTTTTTAAAAGTAAACCCTACCATTTCCGCTCTTGCCCTGGATTCAACTTTTGAAAAAAGGAACCGTTTTACCGCTTTCCCTACAAATTCCCCCTTTCTCTGGCCTCCCTTTGCCTCAATCCCGCGCCCTCCCCCGAACCCTGCTTTTGCCCCGCCCCCAGCAGCTGATCCTTTGCAGTCCCCACCCCAGCACCCCAGGGCAGATGTCACACAGACAACCCTGGCCTTTGCCCCCTGGAACAGGGCTTTCTTAAGCATGGCAGTAAAGCTCCCATCAAATATGATAGGAGCATGGCCAAGAGGTGGCCTGGTGACAGCAGCAGAGGACAGCTCCTGTTTCAAGATGTGTTCCCATCCATAGACCCCGCTTCCCTTTCCAAGGGCAGCCAGTTAGCCCTGTCCCCTCGCCTGCTCTACTTGTAAGCAGACCTGTCCTCTTCCTTGAACTTGCCCTCCACTCCCACCTCCAGCTTCCATCTTCCAAGATACTTAAGGGTCTTGTTCCTACGAGGGCAGCAAGGATGCCCCAGTGCCTGCCAGCTGGGACCATGAGGCAGGAGTTTCTCAGAGACGAAAACACCATCAGGACCAGTGGCTTTCCAGTTCTTTTGATTGCAACCCCCAGTGAGAAATACATTACACAAATACCTAATTTGTGTACATTAATGCATATACATGTAGATTGTCAACACAAATATGCTTCTGTAGAACTGCAAAGTATATACCAGAAAGCAAAGTTTCTAGAAGCAATACTTACCTTTGCAGCATGGGAGACACTATTGCTATTCCATTAAACTGCCACTAAATTGGTTTCAAAACTGGCAGTTGGACAACTCCTGTGCTAGATGTTCTTGTGGGAACAGGCTAAAAATGACACTTCTAACTGGGGCCCATGGGCTTCCCTTGGCTCAGCTGAGGTCTTCCTAGCATCTAACAAGAGGGGCCTTGAGAGGGACCAGGTTCTAGAAGGGATCGTTAAAAAAAATCCACATCAAAATTTGAACACATGGTCTTTCACTGAGACAGAATTGGGACCCTGGGGTGGAGGGGGTGGCTAGAAACCGCTAGAGGAGAGGAATTCAGGTTTGTGGTGCCTGCTGAGAGCTGAACAAGGCATTATATTATATCTTTTAATCTTCATAAAAATCCCCAATTGGAGGTTTTCCTCCCCTTTTTAGAGAAAAGGAAACTGAGTCTCAGGGAGGCTAAGTAAGATAAAGTCATGTGGCCAGAAGTTAGTTGAGCTGGGATTTGAACCCGTGTCTGCCTTGGCCGGCAGGCTTCTCAACCACATGGCTCTTCTCTACCAGCTCAGGAGGTGAGCTCTCTCTTGGATTCCAACTCTGACTGGGGACTCTGACAGGCCATTCTGGGTCTGTGGGGATGGAGAAACGCCCCATCTCAGCAGGTGGGGGTGCAGGCTGCCTGGGATGGGACTGTGCGTGTGAGAAGGTGACATGGGCAAAATGTGAGCATAGGTGTGAGGAAGGGCTCAGACAGCACAGGTTCTCACCCCTCAAACACACAGAATCCCCACCTCAAATAAGTAATAATATATGTTTTCCCTTTCTGAATTCTTTGCTGTTGAACAGATGGCTTTCAGATAATAAAGGGAGAATCCCAATTTAAGTATGAAATTCACTGAAAATTTCTAGTGAAAGAAAACCTTCTACTTAATATTAAAATCAGTAATAATAATAATATCAAACAGCTTTGAGTACTTGTCTGGTGGCAGGCACTGTGCTAAGAGCTTTGCTTGGGTCACGTCAAACCTTCCGTTTACAGAGACCCGCTCTGGGCCAGCACTGAGTACAGAGCCTGGTACCTAGGTGGCGCTTGCAGATATCAGAGAATGAATGAATGTGCCTGGTGTTGAGCTAGAAACTGCACAGAAGTACAACTAATTTAAACACAACTCTATGTCACCTGAGGAATTCCAGCATGTCTCTGAGAGATATTTTCTTCCTTTTGAATATCCTTCATCCAAAACTTTTTAAACTGGAGAGATCTTTTGTTCTGTACTTTTATCTTCCAGGTTAGAATCATCATTTCCCCCCACCCCACGTTCTCACCTCTAACAAGCCTTTGACTTTTCTCCCCTATTGCCTTTCCATTCCTGGGTAGTCTCTTCCTGGCCCAGTGATTGACAGGTCAACACCCTTACCTCAAACTTCACTGAGCCTTATAAGCCCCTTTGCCCAGGAGCCCAGGCAACCTGACTGTCCTGTCTCCTTGGCAACCCAGAAGCCAAGGAAGAAAAAGAAGGATTTGATCCCAGACGTCTGGACCCTTCAGTCAGGACTAGTGATCGACTGTGGCCTCAGAAAACCTACATTCTAGTCTTACCCATGCCCCTTAGACATTTCTGGAATCACTTTCCCCAGAGATGAGAGTGTTTCCAAGGCTCAGGGTTCCCCCAGACTGTCAGACACCCACCCACTGCAGCATCCAAGACCTGAAACGTCACACTAACCCAATTTAGCTTTGCATTTTCCTCTCTTCCCTCCTGGCAGCCAGCCACTCCCATAGTATTTACACATCGATCAAAATGCACAACCCTGGGTTCCTCAGTGGTGAAACTCTCGAAGAACCCCATCAGAACCCTGCTTATGACTGCAAGGAGGAGAATGAAGAAAAAGTTTGGGTTGGATCCTGTCCCCTTATAAGAGATCACTCCCACTCCTAGTCTGCTCTAGCCTAGGACATGGGTTCCACTGACATTGACAACTGCCTACCCAACCCCAGGGGAAACTGGGGTTATCCCATCCTGCTCCACCATCACTGGCTTCTCCTGTAGGGGAACCTAGAGATGGAAAGGATACCTGTGGCCATGGGGCCTCATCTCTCCTCTTCTTCCTTGAGGAATGCTCCTCCTGGGTGGCATGTTCAGAGCACTGCTCTTGGCTCTCTTGTGGGCAGCTCAGGCGCCCTGTCCCAGGTTCTGCCAATTCCTCCCGGCTTTTTCCCCACCTCCAGGTTCCCAGTGGCCAAGGAAGTGGGACCAAATGGGGGAGTTCTCTCAGCCTCTGCTTAGGCACCTGCTGGGTACCTGACACACTGCCTTGTCATTTCATTTAGTGTCCAACCACTCTGCTGTCAGGAAGCCTCCTCTTTCCCCTCAGACAGAGGACAGGCCAAGGCTCCGGAAGATGAAGCATCTCCCCCACCCCCTTAACTCAAAAGTAGCCCAGCAGGATTGGAACCCACAGTTCCCTGACTCTGAAGTAGCTACTCTGTCCACTACAGCTCCTCCCAGACCCCGAGACTTGAAAACAGACGGGAGTTTGGAGCGAAGGCTCCTTTGCTCTCTCTTCCTTCATTCTGGGGACCGGGAGACAGGAGCCCCTCATCACGTGTTCCCTCGCCCCATCCACGCTGAGTCTGCAACAGCCAGAAAGTTTGCCCAAGTCCATTACGGGTGCAGCGGGTGGATGTCGGGGGTCCGCAACACACGCCTCCCGGGAGAGGGGGAGACCGAGGCAGCTCAGCCTCCGGGACAGAGGGGGAGCCACAGCATCTCCCCCTGCTCGCCAGGCGCGCTGAGAGAGCCTCCCTCTGGAGGGCAGGAGACGGTTACCTTCAAGAGTTGGGCTTCCTTCTCCAAGAACTTCAGTCCCATACACTTGGCGAGACAGCGGGGGCACCTGGGGCCGGGAGGCCCGGGTCTGGCCGCGCCGCGGGGGAGACGCTCTGGGCAGGCGCTGCGCACCCCTCCTCCTGCCGGCGTCCTGTCCGCAGGTCCCCTCGGGCGGTGGCCGCAGCGGCGGCGTCTGGGTAGCGGAGTCCCGGCCGGCCTGGGGAAGGGATGCTGAAAGGCGCCCGGAGCCCCCTGGCACCCGTGTCAGATGCCGGCCGGCGAGGGTGCTGAGAGAGAGAGACCTTGAGCAGCGCCGCGCGCGTCCTCAGCTCTGCGAGCCCCCTCTGGAGAGGCGGAAAGGTAGGTGGGCGGGCGGGCGGGCGGGCGGGTACGGCGCGCGGTGACACATACATAGGGGCGGGCGGGGGAGGGGAGGGCCCGGGAGGGGGCGGGGGGGTCGAGCGCGAAGGGAAACCCCACCCCCGGGGGACCCGAGGGGCGGCTGACAGGGGGAGGGGAAGGCAGAGGCTGCTGGAGCGCGCTGGACCCCGCTCCGGTCCGGCGCGCAGCCGGGGAAGCCGCCCGGCGCGCAGGGCGCGAGAGGAGCGCTCCCCACGGCGGCGCGGCCCCGGCAGTCCCGGGGCCGGCGGGAGGACGGCGGCGCGGGAAGGGCTGGAGGGCCCCGCGTCTGCAATGCGGTCGGGCCGCTCCGCAGTCGGAGGGGGCCCCGGAGGGCCGCACCGGCGCTGGCAGCCCCCTGTGGGCTGGGCTCCGCCGCTGCCACCGCCGGACCGGGCTCCCCGGCGCGCGCGCGCGGGGTCTGCGGCTGATGCTCCGCAAGATGCGATAGCGAGGGGCACGGCCCCCTGCTCCCGGGCGGCGCTCCGGAAGGACCCTCCTGGGGAACTGGCTGAAAGTTTTTGGGGAAGGGGTGCGCCGAGAAGGCAGGGGAGTGCGGAGGGGGCAAAGGAGGTTCGGGGGCTGCGGGAAGGCGTGCTGGGGGCTGCGGGAAGGCGTGCTGGGGGCTGGAAGCCTCAGCTCCCAAAGTTGAGGGTCTTCACAATCCAGGAGAGACAGACAAGGATATTTCAAACGGAGCAGGAATTCTCCAGTAGCTGCAGACACCACCCTCCTTAATTTTGATTCCAGACAAAAGAATAAAAGAACTAACAGCATTTGAAGACTTTCTGTGAGCTGGTTGCTTAATACACATTAATATCGCATTTAAAATTCCCAAAGAGCCCAAGGAACTACATATTACAATTACTTTACCTCCCGCAAAAAAAAAAAAAAAAAGTGAAAACTGAGGCTCAGAGGGTGATGGGATTACCTCTCAGGGCGGGTCTGAATTCATACCCAAAGTTACACTCTCTTTGCTGCTATGCGAGCTGCGGGTTCAGCCTCAGCACTTTTGGGGGACGCAGGCTGGCTGGCGGCCTTCAGCATCCTTAGGGAGGAAGATGCTGGTGACTGACACTAGGATTTAGCGGCCTTGGTCAGTGTGGTAGAAGCCTCTACACTCATCACTGGGTAGGGACTGCATGGAGAAGCACAGCGGGTGGGATCTTTGTGAGCTGCCCATTAGGGAGATAATAGACCCAGTTTTTCCTCTATTAAAGGGGGCCAGACTGCCTCAGTTTTCCCAGTGTGACTACTCTAGAATTGTGTGGGTATTTCCCCCTGTTGGAGGGGCAGGACTGACCCTGGCCCAGCACATTCTCTGGAGCTGCCGCCACCCCCCATCCCCTTCTCTGTTCTGGGCCTGAGGAGGGTATGGTGCCCAATCCACCCGCTGGTCCTGGGAGCTGGGCTATAAGGTGTTCCCTTGGTTGCTGGCTCTGACTTCACTCCTTTTCCACCTAAGTCTATTGGTTTTTCTGAGTCAGGTATCTTAGTTGCAGAACACTTTGGGCACTGCTGACAAGATGGTGCTCAGAACCCCTCGCAGGAAAACAGTGTCTTTGGGATGAAATCTTACTAGTTACTGACCTGTGTCCAGACCAGAGGAAATGACCCTTCTAGAAAAAAGACAATCCTTAAAATTCAAACAGGAAGGTCATGGATTCCCCTGTCAGTATTCATTCAGCTAATGCTCTCTGGTGAGAACAAACCATACCCTCATTTGTGAAATGGGTCCTGTCTGACATATGTCTCAGGACAGGTGGGGTTAGTGAAGGATAATTCATATTCAAGGACAAATATTAATTAGGTAGTTAATCTTTGTAATGAAGGGAATGAATGTTTATTGATCATCTAGATTGTATTGAGGCTAGAAAGCATATAATAGACACCTATTGCGTGCCAGACACTGCTTGATACTACAGCCTGGCAGGTGGCTCTTATTCCCATTTTACACACCAAGAGACTGAGAGGTAGTGAATGAGTGTGGGTTGGCATGACTGCACACTGCCTGCCCTTACAGGCTACAGAAAACCCAGCATGATGGGAAAGCATTTGAACACTTTAAAGACCGTGTTCAGCAAATCAAAGGACTAGAGTGTCTGAAAGCCCTTGGTGGCATATGGATATTCCCCTATTCCATGCAGGTGTCTACACAAGAGAAGTCTTGTGTAGTATTTCTGATCCTGGTTTTCCCTCCTCTGCTGAACGCTTTATAGTTTGCCCCCTGCCTTCTCCAGGCCCTGACCTGGTCTGCTGTCATTGGGAAGTTCTGACCTCTTGCTGCTCAGACTTGTTGACACGCTAGCGGGGTCAGCTGGAGCTTTTTGGAAATGCAGACCCTCAGGCCCACCCCAGACTCAGGATCTGCATTTTAATAAGGTCCCCCAGGTGTTTCTGTATCTGCTTATGTTTGAGAAGCATCTTCCAGCAGGTTTACTCATTCAGTCACAGAATTACAGAACAAGAGAATCTCTGAGCTAGGAAGGGCTCATAGAGAATGTTGAGGACAACTTTTTCGGGGTCTTCACTCGGGCTGGGGCTGCGTTCCAGGACAGGGCACTTGAGATAGCCCTTCTAGGATACCATGGCTCCATATCCCAGTTTTTATGGCAGTGTGTCACTTTACCCCAAGATTTGGTGGCTTAAGTCACTGTCTCTCATGGTTTCCATGGATGAGGAATTTGGGAGAAGCCAGCCCAGGCAGTTCTGGCTTGGACCATCTCATGGGGTTGTGGTCAAGACGTTAGCTGCAGCTCCATCATCTGAAGACTTGGCTGAGGTTGGAGGATCCAGGTCTCAGGTGGCTCACTCACATGGATTGGCTCTTGGCCAGTGGCTTCAGGTCACCTCTGGATGGGCCCTGCCAGTCCCTCATGGCATGACACCTGGCTTCCATGACAGTGAGTAATGCCAGAGCCCAAGGGGAAGCCACAATGCTTTTATGCCCTAGCTTCGGAAGTCACAGATGGTCATGTTCACTGTAGAGTGTTGGTCACATAGGGCCAGCCCTGAACTAGTGTGAGAAGGGACACACAAAGGTGTGAATATGGGTCTGGGGAGGGCTGAGAGGCATCTTGGAAGCTGGTTTCCACTCTCCATTAAACTGACGCTTAGAGGACGGCCAGTCTCCTGGTCCATGTAACTGTATTACCATGGAGTGCTTGTTATTGACCCTGTCATGGTGATGCCATGTAAATGCCTCACCAGTTCAAGTATAAGATGTTTGCAGAATTCCTCTGAAGCATCTTTCCAATACCCCTGTTTGAGTGAGTGTTTTAGCTTGCCCTCCGCAACAAGAGATTTGTCCCAATCTCTGCAGGACAGGCTTCATTTAGCCCAAGAGGAGTTTCTATGTCTTTTCTCATAGTGGAATGCCCACAGGTCCTTCAACTATTTCCTGAAGGAGTTTGCTTCTGGCTTCCTTGCTCTCTGGAAACTTCTGTTTGTGGCTGTCCCTCTAATGTGTAATGCCCAAAATCGGCTTTGGACTGACCAGGGCAGAGCCAAGACAACCTTTCCCTCTCCCCATTTGGGTGTTTTGCACCTACCGATGCCACCAGAGATTGTTGAGTCTCCCATTCAAATACTACCCAGGCCCAACTCTGCTTGGGATGGTCATAGACAAGTTTGTTGAGTCTTAACCACTACGTCATGCTTTTGGTTGATACTGAAACTTGTGGACAGTTGAAACCATCAGACTGTTCTCAGGCTGGCCACCACAAAGAGGCTTATCTCAAGCAACAAAACAGGGTTGAGGAGGGGAAGGGTCCCTATGTGTTCAAGAGCTATAGGACATAAATCCCAGTTCTGGCACAGACATCTGGAGCAAGTTGTGTAACCTCACTGGGTCTTGATGTTCTCATCTGTAAAATGGAGCAAACTTATGGAATTGTTACGAGAATTAGAATAGGAGCTGGGATGGCAGCACTGAGAAAATGATCTAGCTCAAGGTGCAAGGTGGTTAGTTTTCTTCTCTGGTCCCCTTCACTGCAGTTTGATGTCCTTGAATAAGTGCATTCTCTTCTGTCTGCTGGTCTCTGCGTTTGTAAAAGAAGTTAAAAATACTCACCTCCTAGAGCATGGCAGTGATTAACACTATATGTAATGTGTGTAGAAAACATTGTGATCCTTTCTGGAAGCAAAGGACCATAGAAATATGGTATAGAAGTAGCCTTCTTATAGCAGAACTGTGAACCAGGAAGCCAAGTCTTCTGAGAACTAGTGGAACATTTGAAAAATGCTGTTTTATTTCTTCAACAGTGTGTGAGTGATGAACTCAGAGGGAAAGGTTCTAATAATAAAGAGCATGGGGTACGTTAATGAAACATTTACAGTTTCACACAGGACTGTGTGGAACAATGATGTACAGTAACAGGAAAGTGCTGTGTCACTTAAGACATAGAAGTTGAAGGGCGTGTTTGAGGAAACTCTCATTTCTTGAAGATTCAGTTTGATTTTTTTCCCCCCTGAATTCATCACAGATTCTATTTTCAATAAACCCTGCCATTTATAAAAGAGGAAGTCATGGCAAACGTTTCACTCGTGACTCACTTGTGCTTTATTATTGAGGATACGCAGGGAGTGATGCTGATTGAGGTGTTAATGTGTTGGTTTCTGCCATCATAGTCATCATCATAGCATCATCATCATCACCAGTATGACAGGTCTGGGGTAAGAAGAGGGATAGAAGGATGCTTCTCTAGGTAACTCCAGACTCCACAGCTCCTGGATCCTCCCCATCTTCTCTCTTCATCACCCTAAATCCCAGGGCATCTCCCACACCTGGACCTGAGCTGGCTCTTCTTTGTTTTTCCATTTATTCCAGCCATCAGAGTCTTTGGAACTGACTGCCCAGCCCTTGTCACATTGGGCTTGATCTTTTTTATTTCCTTTCACTGATAAATATTGTGTCATTCTGGAGAAATTTTCCTAGATTTTTACACCTTTTAGTAGAGAAACAAAATGGGTATCATATGAACAAATACAGTACCCCATAAACAATTGTTTGCTAGAAATGAAACAAAAGAGGGACAGACAGCAACTCCATAGTTTGAAAATGACCTGCTAAGACACAGGCATGGCTTTTCCCCACAAAATCTGGCACTCATTTGGTATACAGTGCTGGGGGATAGTCCTCTTGACATTTTAGTTACTGCTCTTCATCTATTCGGCTTCTTACTGTGTATTCCTTCCAGAGGAGAAAACCCAGAATACATAAGGGGACAAAGCTGTATTTCAGTAGACTATTTTTTATTCTTAGGACTTTTACTTGTTAGCATTTTGATCTTGAAAGAACCATAAAAATAGGCATAAAAGTAGGCATTATTAAAATGCTGCAGGGCTGTCTGACTAGTCTCAAAATTCCAAGTTTAAAAAAATGGGATTTCAGTTTCTTCATGGGTTAGCACAACGTCATCATCATAGTAATATTTATTGGTGTGTTTATTTATTTGTCATTTATTATTATAAAGCACACATAAAATTTATCATTTTAACAATTTAAAATATACAGTTCAGTTCCATGGTATTATGTAAACATACACTGTTGTACAACCATCCCCACCATCCACTTCCTGAACTTTTTTGTCTTCACAAATTGAAACTCTATCCATTAATGAGTAAATGCCCCATGCCCTCCCTCCTCCCAGTGCCCGGCAGCCACCAGTCTACTTTGGGTCTGTGTGAGTCCAACTACTCTAGGTAGGTAGCTAGTATGGCTGGAGTTACCCAGTGTTAGTCCTTTATTCATGGCTTGTTCACTTAGCATAATGTCTTTAAAGTTCATCCATGTTGTAACCGGTGTCAGAATTTTCTGTTTTTCACAGTAATATTTACTGGGTGCTTACTATGTGCCAGGACCTGTGCTAAATGCTTCGTTAAACCTCACAGTGACTCAATGAGGTCTTGTTGGCTTTATTTCACTGATGAAGCAATTGAGGACAGGGAAGCTGCTCAGGTTCATGTTGTTGCAAAATGATAGAACCAGGCATCTAACCCAGGCCTCCTGGCTTCAGAACCCTCATACTTAAAATGTTAATATCAGTCATTTATTGAGCACCTGTCTGGTACTAGGCATTATACCATTTTCCCTCTCCCTTTCTTCCTTTTGCTGTATCATTTACATAGAATGAAGTACATCTTCAGTATACAATCAGTGAACTTTTTCCCATCTACAAACACCATTGTAACCACAACCAAATCAGGGTGTAGAGCGTTCCCTTGTTCATCTTCTAGTCAATAGCTGCCTGCTCCCCGCTCCCCGACCCCCACTGGAGATCGCTGTTCTGACCTCACTGATGGACCAATTTTGTCTATTTTTTACTTGATAGAAATGTCATCTTCCGATGAGTACTCCTTTTTGTTTGGCTTCTTTTACTCAAACCAGAGGCAAACTGGAGAGAGTGTGGCCTGTCCAAAGGGACAGCCACCAGCCACTAGCCCGCTTCACCTGAATGTTGCCATTTACGAGTTCAGGCTCCATGTTGCTGGGTCATGTACTAGCAGCGGTAATAGTAGCCGTAGTTGTTATTTTCCTTGAGAAAGCAAATATCTAGATCTTCATGGGGTATCAATGGTGATTAACTTAAAAATTTAAAATATAGTATGTGTCAAAACACTGAAGGATCAGCAAAATTCATCTATGGGTGGTTGGATAAATACTATGATGGCGAAAATGGACAGGAAAGAACATTCAAAAGGGAAACTCAAAGATACTGGATCTTGAGGGAGAGAGAGAGAAGCAGGAATCAAGGATGGTCTCAACCTTCTGAAGCTGGATGACTGGAAATGGGGAGTCCCATCAGGAAATGGGCAGTGGGGAAGGGCAGCTGGCTTGGGGAGACAAGACAGCAAGTCCCATTGTAGACAAGCTTGGTTTTCCGAGGTGGAGAGACGCCCAGGGGGAGGCGGCCAGACGGCAGAGAGAAATTTGGGACTGGGGCTCAGGGAAATGCTGGGTCTGCGATTCCACACGTCTGCATTTAACATAAGAACTGCTGCTGCTAAGTCATGTCTGACTATTTACAACCCCATGGACTGTAGCCTGCCAGGGCTCTTCTGTCGAGGGGCTGTCCCAGGTAAGACTACTCAAGGAGGTTGCCATTTCCTCCTCCAGGGGGTCTCCCTGACCCAGGGATCGACCCCGCATCTTCTGCATTGGCAGGTGGATTCTTTACCGCTGAGCCATCATGGAAGCCCCCAGTATAAGAACAGGTAACATTAAATTGTAGTTGACAAATGTTAAAATATACTTTAATTTCATACTGTAGCTAATGAAGGGAGAAAGTAGAAGGGCAGAAAACAGGGAGGAAAAGATGCTTTGGAGAGAAATGCAAGGATATGTCGGAGACCCTGACATCCAAAGAAAAGTGATGCAGGTAATGGGGTTTTAGAGAAAAAGAAATGTGGACAAGTGTCAAGTAATGAATTTCAATCAGCCATAGATACAGTTGGGGTTTGATTGCTTGACAGTTGCATCTTGTGGCTATTAGGACTTTGTGGTTAATGAACTTTTAAATTCTCTTTGTCCCCACAGTGTTCAGTAACATAATTAATGATTTTTTGAGGGGCGGTGCGCCACAAGGCATGTGTAATCTTCCCTGATCAGGGATAGAACTCGTGCCCCCTGCATTGGGAGCAGAGTCTTAACTACTGGACTGCTAGGGAAGTCTTTAAATTCCTTTTTTGAACTACTATTGCATTTGTGCAGCTTATAGACACAGATATGAGTCTGGTGCTTCATGGCATTTACCTGTAAGCCCAAATGAATGAGATCAACAGCTATGATCTTTTTATACACACTGGCCAGATCTCACCATGGAATCATGGCATTAAGTCCTTCTTAGGTCCCGGATCAAGTCAGATATCCAGCCCCACAAAAGCCATGCCAGCCTTCCTGAGGATCCTTGGTTTCATAAGGGCATGTATAGTTCAGGCTAGAAGTTCTCCACAGAAATGTTTCAGAGCCACTTTAACCTTTGAAGGATGAAGAAAAGGGACATGGTAAAATTCATTTCAACTTAGGGGTGGTGTCATTTAATTGCTCTTTCTTGCTTCCCGTTTTCCACAATTGAAGAAATAGGACCATCAAGTCCCGCTGTTATGCCTACAGAGTAAAATGGTTGACTAGGTCCTAAGCTCTGTGTGTGTGTGTGTGTGTGTGTGTGTGTGTGTGTGTGCGTGCAAGGGAACACTTACAATTTAATTCAAAAACAGAAAATTGACAAATGAGAGTGCTTAAAGCCAATATGAAGCAAATATGAATATATGAGAAAATTTGTCTGTGCGTCCTTAGTCATTCAGTCATCTCTGACCCTTGTGACCTGATGGACTGGAGCCCGCCAGGCTCCTCTGTCCATGGGATTCTCCAAACAAGAATACTGAAGTGAGTTGCCATTTCCTCCTCCGGGGATCTTCTCAACCCAGGGATTGAACCCTGGTCTCCTGCATTACAGGCAGATTCTTTACTGTCTGAGCCACCAGGAAAGCCCATGAGAAATTGAATACTTGATAAAATTAATACTCAATAAAACTCCCCAATAGAGAGGAGAAAGATGACAGACACAGAGGAGAGAATGGCTACCAGTGAGTGGGGGTATAAGAGGACAAGGACAGTCTATGAATTATCTGGTGAAGAAATAAATAGAAATTACATTGGAGTGTCAAAGGAGATCCTCCCCCAGCACCCCCAGTCTGAAAATCAGCTGTTGCCTGTGCCCAGGTGAGCTGGGTCCCACTACCTGTCCAAATCTCACACCCGTGCGTTTTTTCCCCATCTCTGGCCCCTCTGCATGCCTTGGTTGGAAACGTGGCTTTTCCAGAGTCAAAAGCCAGAGGACAAGGCACCTATTCACCCTGCTGGGTTTGAAATTCTCCTTCGAAATTCCTTTAACTGCAAACGCCTTCTCCCAAGTACACTGTGCATCTTTTCAAATTTCAGACATAAACAGCAGCGTAGCACCGCCTGGCAACCCCCTCTCACCCTCCTGATAAAAATAGAAAGTGCCAATGTGGGGAAAATCATGGACACAGTGGGGTTTTGTGGACCAGCTGTTTGCACGAGTCTTCCTGACCCCTCTGCCTATTTTGAGGAGGGGTGTCTCTTGAGGGGAGGGAGCTTTGAGCTGGATTCTTGGAGAATTTGTCATCCCTGGCACCTTGGCCCCTTCCATTCTGGGCCCAAGATGCATCTCTGTGGTTGTGTGTTTAACTCTGTGTCCTAGGGAGAGACACGTTTACCTGTGGTTGTTGGCTTGGGTGTCAACTCTGGTGACTGCGGGGGATGGAAACAGTGGTGGGAAGAAGTGCGGGGAAGAAGTTCATTTGCAGAAACCACTGATGTGAAAACTTTCACTGGACAGCCAACTGCACATGGCAGAGTCCTGGGTGTGGTATGAGTTTAAATCAAGGCAGGCACTGTGACCCTACGAGCAGGTGAAGGGCATTTGGAGGTAATGAGCACTTACCCTGTGCACTCGGTTCCCACTGTATGGGACGTGGGTGGGTGAGCAGTGTGTGGTGAATTGGCAGGTTCATTGAGCTAGGGCTTGAGAGACCTGTTCTACTTCCAGCTGCACCATTTATCAGTAGTGTGACCTTGGGCCTCAGTTTCCTTTTTAGTAAAAGAGGAATTGCAGGGATTTCCCTGCTGGTCCAGTGGCTAAGACTCTGAACTCCCAATGCAGGGGGCCCAGGTTCCATCCGTTGTCTGGGAACTACATCCCACACGCCCCAACTAAAGATCCTGCATGCTGCAATGAAGATTGAAGATCTCGCATGTGGCAACTAGGACATGACGCAGCCAAATAAATAAATATAAATGAATGAAAGAAAAATGACAATATCCCCACAGAAAGATGCAGGTGAGTTCCTGTTGCTTCTCTGCTTACAACCATCCAATGGCTTTTGGTTGCATTCAGGACACAGCGGCCAACAGAGCTTGAATGACCTGGCCCTGCCTCTCTCACCTCATGTCCCCTCCAGCCACCTTACTCTTCCCCTCTGTGTTTTGGCTCCATTTCATCTTCATATTGTACTTTAAATATCAGAGAGGCTTTCCCTGACCATCCAACTTCTTTGCTGCTCCCAGTTTCTATTACGGTGTCTCATTCCTTCCCTTCCTGGTCTAGCCCATGCCTTGCTGGTGTGTATTTTGAGCTGTTTATGTGTAGTGTCCCCCGCCCTCTCTTACCAGACTCTGAGCTTCATGAGGGTAGGAACACATATCGCCAGCTCCCAGCTCAGTGTGGGTCAGTCGCAGGCTCTCAATCGATATTTGTTGAATGAATGAATGAATGAATGAATAGGTCTTTTTTCTTCTTTGTTTCTCCTGTGTCTGACACGTTTAAAGACTCCAGAAGTGAATCATAATAACTCACATCCATTGAGAGCTCTGTGTTAGGAATTGTTCTAAGCATTTGACATCTAGTGACTCATTTAATAACCGTAGTAATCTTACAATTTGTTAATGGCCATCATAACTTATTCCTGTTTTCCAAAAAAAAAGAAACTGAGGTCTGGAGAGGTCAAGTGCTTTGCCTAAATCATAGCTAGTGAATGGCAGAGCAGAGGTTCAGTCCCAGATAATTAGGTACCAGAATCTGTATCTTTAACCTCTCACCATCCTGCTTGAATGAAGAGGTGAGTGAAGGAAAGAAGCTAGTTCATTGCAGAGGCTCATAAACATTCATTTATTCTTTCCCTCTGCCTGCATGCTTGATTGAAATGGTTGAGTTAGAGCTTTATATGACAGTAAAGATGTGTAAAGTGTATAGTGATGAATGGGAGTAGATGGATGGGGAGCTCTAAGGGTGGGTAGGGTGGGGCCTCAGTACCAATCAGTCAGGCTCTATCACCCAAGAGAACTTCCTGGGGATGGTAGGGTTAGGAAATGTTTAAATAACAGGAAGAGAGGGTGGGTGATGGCAGGCCAAGGCCATGGCCTGAGGCTAGAGCTGACAAGGGTGGGCAGCAAAGAAAGACTAGAAGCTACAAATCCCATGGATAGCAAGTTAGAAAATTAATGGGAGAACAGAAGTACCACTAGGATGCATCAGGACGTGAAGCTTAAGATGGTGATCCATCAAGTCAGGACCCACAGTTGGGAGTTCTTCTTGTCTAAGATGAAACCTCGGAAGAGATGAAGTTGGTTTGTCTTTAGTCAAATCTGGCAAGAAGTGTTTGAGCTCCAGAGTCTGATGTCGGTTCACATGTTACAGTTCAACTTCTGGTATTTGGTTGGCAGCCCAAGCCTTGCCACCTATAGCTGACTAATCCTGACCTTAACATGCAACTAGAATCTACCAGATCCTGAAGAGCTGGCATCTTTGACTTAGAGAAGATAATCAATTTGGAGTCTTTAAGCTGGGCAGGAGGATTCTGTGGCATTCTGACACTTTCATTGTGTTAGGACTGAGGTGTTGACATGGACTCAAAATTAAAAGTGGATGATTGGGAAACAAGGCAGTGTGGGTCACTGGCAATAGTGATATTGACCTTGTGTTGTGCTAGTTAACCTTTGGCCCATGCATCAGTTGGGCTTTCCAGGTGACTCAAAAGTAAAGAGTCGCCTGCTAATGCAAAAGAAACAAGAGGCTCAGGTTTGATCCTTGGGTCAGGAAGATCCCCTGGAGGAGGGCACAGCAACCCACTCACTCCAGTATTCTTGCCTGGAGAATCCCATGGACAGAGGAGCCTGGCGAGCTACAGTCCATAGGGTCACCAAGAGTTGGACATGACTGAAGTGACTTAGCACACATTAAGCGCTCAGTCAGGATAGGCTGGGTTATGCTGCAATAACAACAGCCCCCAAATCTTAGTGACTTGAAATAATAAAGATTTGGTTCTTGCCCACATCCATAATGTGGATGGTTGGGAACTTTGCCCCATGTCATTATCCTCCAGGTCAGGCTGATGGAGCAGCCACCATCTGGGACATTCCCCTCTGGTTCCATGGCAGAGGGGAAAAAAGGGTCCTGTTGTGTATCAGCAATTAAATGCTCCAGCACAGAATAGGCACATGTCATTTGTGGTTCCAAAATCACTGTGGACAGTGACTGCAGCCACGAAATTAAAAGATGCTTGCTTCTTATAAGAAAGGCTATGACAAACCTAGACAGCATATTACAAAGCAGAGACATTACTTTGCTGACAAAGGTCTGTATAGTCAAAGCTATGGTTTTTCCAGTAGTCATGTACGGATTTGAGAGCTGGACCATAAAGATGGCTGAAGAATTGATTCTTTCAAAATGTGGTGCTGGAGAAGACTCTTGAGAGTCCTTTGGACAGCAAGGAGATCAAACCAGTCAATCCTAAATTAAATCAACCCTGAATATGATTGGAAGGACTGATGCTGAAGCTGAAGCTCCAGTACTTTGGTCACCTGATGGGAAGAGCTGACTCATTGGAAATGGTCTTGATACTGGGAAAGACTGAGGGCAGGAGGAGAAGGGCCCAAGAGAGAATAAGATGGTTAGATAGTGTCACTGACTCAATAGACATGAGTTTGAGCAAACTCTGGGAGATAGTGGAGGACAGAGAAGCCTGGCATGCTATAGTCCATGAGGTTGCAAAAGCCTTACACAACTTAGCGACTGAACAAAAATTTCTGGTTACAACTTATTGGTTAGAATTAGTCATGTGACCCCCATCCAGCAAACATGGGAGAGGAAGTGTAATGCTAAGTGCCAGGTGGATGAAAAGCTGGAAAACTGTGAAAGGCATTATTACTGTCTCTAGTCAGTCCTCTCAATGATGGAGTAAGGTTTGCATTCCACCTGGCTATTTTAGTCACTGGGATCCTTTCTTTAGGGGTCAGAATGTCTCCCAGACATTGGGGACTCAGAGTAGGTGAGGGTGATATGGCGCACTGGGGGGTCCTGGGTGGCCCCAATTATTGCCAGAACAGCCTTCACCTTCCAACAAGGGTCTTGGACATTTGATGGAACCCCATTTAGTACCCATGTGCCCATGCTCTTTCCTCCACTCTTCTGGAAAGAGAGGAGGGCCACCTCCTCCTTGCATTCCTTTCCTGGGCTTTCAGAACCTGGAAGCCCCACTTAGGACATGTTCAGTCTTTGACACAAGGTGGTGGGTTCAGGGTGCTTGCCAGGGTGAGATCTCCTCTTTGCTATAGGACTGTTAGCTCCTCAGAAGACCCCCTTCCTTTCCCATGGCTTTATTTCTTGTCTTCTGGGACCAGATCTTGGAGGCCACTGGACTCTCCAAAAGGTGGAGCTGTCACTGGAGTTGGTTGTGGTCTTTCAGGCTGTGGACTTCCCATCTGGGGACCTCTTGCAGGTTTTCCTGCTCAGCTTGTCAGTGTGGAGCTCTGATGACCCCTAAAAATGATACAAACAAGGAATGATCATAAGAAAATGAGGGAGCATTTCATATGGTGAGAGCAAGAATGCAGGGAGGCCTACTTGGAGCCATAGGGCTCAGCTTTCCTAGTTGTGGCTTGGCCCAGGCTCTGGGAAGCCTGCCTTTTCTCACTCAGCAAAGGAGGAGAAGCTTCCTGTCTTATGGAGACAAGGGAAGGATATAGGCTAAGAGATTCCAAGCTGTCTCCTTAGGCAAAGCACACAGAATGAAATCCAGGGGATTGTGCTGAAATGAGAGCCCGAGAAGTTTCAAATTGCTTCATTTTTGTTCCAAGGAAGCCCTGGGGCTGTGGCATGGGTCCATCCCTGAGAGCCTAGGAGTTGAAGTATTGTGGCCTAGGGATGGGGACTGAGGTAGGGCTCAGGAACCGGGTTGTAGGAGAAGGTCTAACCAACCATGGCACCCCTGCACTAGGCAGGGCAGAGCTCACCTGGGTAGAGTGTTCATGAGAAGCCAGAGCTAGCACAGATGCAGGAAGGGACCAATAATTTAAGTCAAAGAAGAAGAGCCCTGGGAACATGAAGTCCTGTCTGGAGCTGTGGGTTGGAACCTGGGGTGGAGTAGTCATGGGAAGAGACAGCCAGGCTGTTTTAAAACAGGGGCCTCCCCAGCATGCCTTATTGAAGATCATGTTCTGTTGTTGAGGCTTCATTGTTGAAGAACAGAGAAGGGATTGGCATAACTGACACATGGCCCAACATGAACAAAAGAAAGGAGACAGAATAGAATGCCTAGAGAGGCCACCCTGGGTAGGCTTGAGTCAGATGGGGAGAGGGTCAAGAGGACCCAGGGCATACTAAAAGTTTATGAGCAGGAAGAAACTGGCATTGGTATTTCTGCATGTAAAAACCCAGCCCTGGGCTTCCCTGGTGGTCTAGGGGCTAAGAATAAGCCTGCCAGTACAGGAGACACGTGTTTGATCCCTGGTCCAGGAAGATCTCACATGCTGAGGATCAAGTAAGCCAGAGTGCCACAGCTACTTGAAATCTGAGTGACTAGAGTCCGTGCTCTGCAACAAGAGAAGCCACTGAAATAAGAAGTCTGGGCACTGCAACGAAGATTAGTCCTCGCTTGCTACAGCTAGAGAACACACACGCACAGCAATGAAGACCCAGGGCAGGCAAAAATAAATAAATAAATAAAATAAAAGATTAAAAAAAAAGCTTGGCCCCATTTTCATGGCCCACACTCAAATGCTACCCCATCTAGAGAGTTCTATCATAATCTAGGGTGAGAATACATCCCCAAATACATTCCTCTGTGATTCTGTATCTGTCACTTGTTGTCACAGGTACCTTGTACTGGAATTAGTTTTGAGTGCCTCTCCCAACAGCCTGATCTCCCTGTGGACAGCATCCCACAGTAGGGCACCTCCAGGTTAGCACCTGGCTCTCAGGTAAATGAGGAGCTAAAGGGAGGCAGTGGGATGTGGGAAGTCCTTCCAGAATCCTGCTTCCCCAGGGAGGTTTCAGGACCACCTACCTCCCAGATACCTGGGCCATTTGTTTAGAATTCACCCCCTGACTTGCCAAATCTGACTTTATAAGGTGAACCCCCTAAATCTTCACTTGTTTGCTTTCTTTTACAATT